TATATGTATATATATATGTGTGTGTGTCTGTGTCCGTGTCTGTATCTGTGTCTGTGTCTGTGACTGTGACTGTGTCTGTCTGTGACTGTGTCTGTGTGTCTGTGTGTCTGTGTGTCTGTGTGCCTGTGTATATACAGGAGAAGTATGTGAGAAGTGGTGGGGATTTATGCAAGTATGGGTATGGTAGATAGCGATGCGCCACGTGTAGGTATGGTGGAGGAGTATGAGCTGAGGGGTGCGTGTGAGTAGCGTATGTAGTTCTTTGAACAATTAATCTATTCCATCAGCCACTAGCACAATCCCACGTAGCACCGCAGCTCTCCGATCAAACGCGCGCCCGGCTCAGCGCAAACGTTCAATCAAGTTTTTTATCATTCGACCAATGAAACCGCAGGTGTTACCACCGGCCATGGTGTCGTATCTGTGCGAGGGAGAGATCAATGACAAATATGTGGGCCATATGATCGCCCTCAACCGCAAACTGGCGTTCAGCAAGAAGGCTATCGCTAAGAAGGACATAGGCTGTGTGGAGGAGGTCAGGCCGGAGATCCAAAAGCTCGCCATCAAGGTGTGTACACGAGTGAGTGTGGCAGTGTGATACCTACACGAGTGAGTCTGGAAGTGTGACACCTACACGAGTGAGTGTGGCAGTGTGATACCTACACGAGTGAGTCTGGAAGTGTGATATCTACACGAGTGAGTTTGGAAGTGTGATACCTACACTAGTGAGTCTGGAAGTGTGATACCACAGTAGTGGTTAGTGCAATTGCCTACTACCACGTCTATGAGACCACCAAAGTCATCGGTGCCACGAGTGTGCAGAGGTCAACCCGATGTGATATAAAATCGTGCACGGGTGATGATAGGCACTGGCAATATACCCTCAACCCTAAACCCTGTGTTGTGTTGTGTCAAAGGGCCATACACGCACCCTTATGGTACCAAGCACGTGTCATAAGCACATGCTCGTTGTGGATTCAACACGCACACTACGAATGTGCGCTCACAATCTCCGAGGGTTGCAGGGTCTATCGTATAGCGGGCGCCTGCGTATTAGAGCACGCTTCTCCTGCACTTACTTTTGCATGCACCTGACTGGTAGATTTAAGGGCCACATGTGCGAGCGTATCCAGCACACTTCTCATGCACTTACTTTTGCAAACACCTGACTGGTAGATTTAACGGCCACAAGTGCTAGCGTATTCAAGCACACTTTTCGTGCACTTACTTTTGCATGCACCTGACTGGTAGATTTAAGGGCCACATGTGCGAGCGTATTCAAGCACACTTCTCATGCACTTACTTTTGCAAGCACCTGACTGGTAGATTTAACGGCCACAAGTGCGAGCGTATTCAAGCACACTTTTCGTGCACTTACTTTTGCAAGAACCTGACTGATAGATTTAACGGCCACAAGTGCGAGCGTATTCAAGCACACTT